CTCCAGTTTTTATGACCCCTTTCTCTCCTTCCCCTGTAAAAAAAAAAAAAAAAAAAATCACAAAAGAAAAGATTTCCTCTGTTATGTGGCTAGTTCCATATGCAACACGAGTAATGAGCTTGTCCAAGAATGGTGTTTAAAAGTGACCCATATTCTGAGAGTTAAGTAGCTGAGCTTCTTCAGTGCTGCACTGACAATCACAGGCTGATTAAATTTTTACACAATTCCCTTAGCGGAGGCAAGTCCCACTTTGACCCCTTCCAAAGGGACTGCTTAATGAATAAGGGCTGATTCTGTTTGAATAAAGTGATTTGCCTTTGTTGACAGTGTAAATAATAAGCTACCTGTGCAGTAATCATTTATATTAAAGATATTGTAAAATAGCCTATAAGAAACTGTTTCACTGTCTCTAATGCAGGATCAAAAAGAGTCTTTTAAGGTAGAGGAAAAATGTTATTAAAGTAGGGGCAGGTGTAAGATTCTGAATTTGAATAATTAAACTTATTTTGTATTTATAAAAGCGTTTCTAGGACATAGTGACTTTATGTCATGACTGTTACTCAAATCAGCCCTATTGTTAGGATTAAAATGCATATGAATGTGTTCTTTTTGTTCAGATGTTTTAGCACTCAAGGAGGAAATTTGTTGCATAATGAACAGAAGTTTTAACTATTGTCTTATCACCATTGTCTCATTCTGTAGAGTGCTTCTGATGTCATGACTTTCAACTTTTGATGGCATCTATAATTCCTACCTTGAGAATTTTTTTAACATTTAGATATGAAGATAGGTTTTAGTTAGAGAAACTGGAGCTAATTAAGGATATATAGTTTTCATAGCAATTGAAGCTGGAAACCAATTTGTCTAAAGTTTTCAGAAAAACTGATCAGTAGAGAATCCAGATTTTGGGGGTTTTGTTCCTAAACTGAAGCTTAGTTTAAATGGTGGGTTTCAGGTCTGAGTTTGTCTGGTTATTGAACCTTACACAGCTCCACAAAAATATTTTATTTTTCAGTGTAGAATTTTTTCTGAGTGTGGAAAAATAGAGATAACAGTAAGTTGATTGAAACAGAAGTTGTCACATCCCATTGAAAGGTTCTATTTCATGTTACTTCAACCATTATTTTTATATTCTGTATACAGCAAGGAGATGTGTCATACCTAACCACAGCTTTTTGCTAGTTGCATTGCAAAAGCAATGTAAAGCAGTCCCTTTTCTATATGATAATGAAGCTAGACAACAAAATTACTTAACCTTGTAACTCTGAACAAAAAGAGTCTACCATAACTGTCAAACTATATTTGTAAGTGAGCTAATTAACTCGAACCCAGCATAATTCTAGAAAGCGAAGATGGCAGCTACTGAAGATATTCCATAGGGCATTGCAAGAGATGGATTTTATTCACAGTATCAGTGTATTAACTTTCAAATAGTTTTAGAAAGCCATTCAGTAGAATCCAGACTTCCTAATAACATTATCCTGTTGAAAGTGAATGGAAGCTTTGCCAACCTAGTGTTTAAAGATCTCACCAGGAATCTTATTTATTTGAAAAATATTTATATTTTCTTAGTAGAAATTGAAACTATTCTTTCAAAATTTACTATTCAATAAAAGTGCATTTTATGTTGCATGAATATTGTGTGCCCAAGCTTTGGTTTTAGCCCAAGCTTTTAAAAGTGAAGTCAATTTCTTACCTCAACTCTATTCATCATGAAAAAATATAAATTCTGTCTTTTATGAAGCTGTCATAGTTCCTGAGAAATATTAGACCCTAGGGCCCACTACTCCATTTAAAACATTCTTCATGTTCATGTCATCTTTTTTTTTAACATTCCTTTTGCTTGTTTGATGACTTTTATTCTTCCCCTTCTCCTTTAGTGAAATTCAATATTATGTCCCTATTCTGTTCCTTTTAAAGACACTTAATAGAAGACACTAAAAAGCAGAGATTCAGTATTTTCGTTTTTAAAGGGAAGATAGCTGTATTTATCACATTGTCTACATTCTTGATTTTCATCTTTTGTATTTGCTGTTTTCTTGCGTATACTCTGAAAGATGTAGGGCATCCAGATGAATTGAAAAGGAGCCAAAGCTATGTAAGACCTGATTCTCAAAAAATATTTACGTTCCTAAAAATGCAGATAAATACATATAGGGATTTTAAAAAATGCATAGAGGCACTTAATCTTTGTTGTTTAACTAGGCTTCACTTAGCGTCTTCATATTCTGAAATGTCTGAAGTTATGCTGTTTGGGGTTCTGATGAATTCGTGTTTAAATGCTTCTTTTTTTCTTTTTAAATCCATTCTTTTCCTGGCTCATTCTCTCAGGATTGTGCTTGTATCCAGGCTTACCATGTGTTGTGGTTTAACCCCAGCCGGCAACTAAGCACCACTCAGCCGCTCGCTCACTCCCTCCCCAGTGGGATGGGGGAGAGAATCAGAAGGGTAAAAGTGAGAAAACTCGTGGGTTGAGATAAAGACAGTTCAATAGGGAAAGCAAAAGCCGCACGTGCAAGAAAAGCAAAACAAGGAATTCATTCACTACTTCCCATGGGCAGGCAAGTGTTCAGCCATCTCCAGGACAGCAGGGCTCCATCACACGTTGTGGTGACATGGGAAGGCAAACACCATCACTCTGAACATCTCCCTCTTCCTTCTTCTTTGCCCAGCCTTATATGCTGAGCATGATGTCACATGGTACGGAATATCCCATTGGCCAACTGGGCCAGCCGTCCCAGCCATGCTCCCTCCCAGCCCCCCACACACCTGGCAGAGCATGGGAAGTTGAAAAGTCCTTGACTAGTGTAAACATTACTTAGCAAAATTAAAACATCAGTGTGCTATCAACATTAGTCTCACACCAAATCCAAAACACAGCACTACACCAGTTAATAGGAAGAAAATCAGCTCCATCCCAGCCGAAACCAGGACACCATGACTAGGTCCTTCTTCTCTAAGAGGTCTAAGTGCAGTCAGTGGTAACTACACAGCAGGAGGAAGGGTTCTCAAGGATATATATGGGGAAACAAGTCTCAGTGTAGGCAGTTTCTCAAGATGCTCTGAATGATGAATTAACTAATGTAGTTCAGAATATGAGAGTTGATCACTCTGATGATTTGGAGCCTGAGGTTTTGTTTTTGGGTTTGTGGGGTTTTTGGTACCAAACCTTTTTTTTTAGGTTGAACAGCATACCAACTGCAGGTGGGATTTGTGTCACCTAACTCTAGTTATCTTAAAGTTAAGTGCCCGTTTTCAGCTAATTGTCTAGACACTCTCTATCATCAGTGAAGAACTAGAGGCACTTCAAGAGTATGATTCATCCCATCTTAGAATAGATGTCTAAGCTGGGATGAATTGGAAGTAGCTGTCTTTCTCCACCAAATAGCAGGAGAGCATTGACAACTCGTTAGACAAAAAGGAGCTAAAGATAGGTGAGATGGTCCCCCACTGAGCTATTGCTGTATCTCTTATCCCTATCTGTTGTTTCACTGATTTGAGAGATGAGTAACATTTTGCAGTATTTGCCAAATAGAGCAAACATCTTAAACAGATGTTAGTATCAAATCCATCAGGTTCAGGAGTACATAAGGCAGAAAATAATGTATACAGTTCCACTGAACCTGTACGTAGATGGTCTGTGCTTTGTTTTGATTGTCAAATGGTAGCTTAAAGAGCAAAAGCTAATGCGTAATGCATTGTACCTATTTCAGGTTGGGATCAGCCTAGAAATCAGCATCCACCCACAGTAAAGACTCCGCCTGGTTACTCCTCTGTACAAGCAACATCACAGTGGCACTTCAGAGCTATCCTGTCACTTTCTCATTTCTTTTCTGAAAAATAAATATTCTAGCTGAAAAACAGATTAAGCCCACAATAGGTGTATAATACATCTCAAAAGTAACTTGAAAGGAAAGCATTTCACACTGGCAGAAATATTAGACAAGTTTAATACCAGTTTTCTCAATAACTTTCAGAATAAATATCCATTAGAATATCAATGAAGATTGAAACTTTTCTCAACAAAGAGAGTCATCAGTAACACTTTTACAGCAAAAACTGTGCAGTAATTTTTATTCCTATGTATTTTTTCTGAAATGAAAGGAATGTGCCATTTAACATTAAATTTAGCAAAAAATGATTACATTTTGAGCCATTCTTTATAACAGAAACAAATTAACCAAAGGCAATTATTAAAACTTCATTTGCCTCTCAAGCACTAAGCTTCTGCTGAATGTTTTTCATAATTGGACAGTCATGTTTTTCAGATGATAGTGAACACTTCACTGAGAAAATGATGGATAAAACAATCATTGCTGTGATATAGGATGTTGCCTCTATGAAAGTTTGCTTAACAATTTAAAGGAACAAGCATGTTTATTAAGCCTGCACTGATACTGGGCTGAGGTAGGAGAAAATAACACTGCCAGATTTCCATTGAGGTCTGCCCATCTCTAAACTAGTTTTCTTGGATTTTGGTAGCAACGTAAGTATGCCAGCAGGCAAATTTACCCTGAACTGCTCATTGGTTTTGTCTGTTCCCTTTGTTGCTCTAGTTCAAGGAAAGTAATACCAAAGGACAGGTGTTTCTGCTAGCTTGTTAACTGAGTTTTCTTTTATTCATATTTAAATAATTAAGCTTACATTTTACTGATACCATCTTAAAGTAAGAACTGTAAATTCTTAAAATCCCATTCTCAGTACGTACGGAAATCTGTGCCACAAGATCACTTCTACTTGCTTAATGCATGTTAAAGTGGAAAGAGACCAGTCAGTTAGCTGGTATAATCATATACACAATGCAGCCATCTTGTCTCATCTAGTTGTTCCTTCAATTGTGCAAAACAAGACGCTGTATATGTTTCAAAACCAGAAGATTCTTCTGTTTTACTTTCATTAGGACATAACTTCTGTTAGCATTCTGATTTTTGTTGGTCTTAGTTAAGATGATTTCTTTCTCGTACCAAACTGTGACTATAAAGACATACACATGATTATCTTCTTCATCCTTTTAATAATAATAATAATAATAATAATAAAAAACCCTGTTGCAATTATTTTTCCATTTATTATTGTGATATATATATTTATTTTTTTACAAAGGAATTTGACAAGCAGATTTCTGGAGTTCTTAATGGAGTTGAAACAATAGTCTATGCATGTCATTGTACATGCATAGTGAAATGATGAACATAAATCACATACCCACACACACGCACACACAGAAAACAAGGCACTGTTAAGACTGTACAAGTAATAAATGACCAAGAGGTTATTGATACATTAAAAACTGAGCTCCTAATGAAAACTGTATCAGTAGTCATTTTAAAATGCACCCTAAAGCTGTGCATTGTTTTGGGGTTCTCTGCTTAAAACCCCATCTGTGTCCCTCTTTCCGTATGTATTGGACCCCACATTCGTAGGTGAATAAATTGCTCCGATGTTGCTGCTGGAACGAACTAAAAAGTCAGCCAAGCGTTGTGTCACACATGTCGCAGTGTTACATTTCCGTTTCTCCAGGTGGTGACTACTAAGGTAAAACAAAAAAAGCCAAGATTAAGTCAAATGATGAGCAATCAAATGTGCCACTTCTAATAGGCATTTGAGCTGTGCTAATGTGGGAGTTCTTTTAATATGTGCACAAATACAGGAACATTACAATCTTCCTACCACCTACTTTGTGCCTGAAAAAAAATCTCACGCTGTATGCTATTATCAGTTTTAATGATGGGGGTTATTTAAATGCAAAGACCTTAACAGTCATATGTCATTTTTATTGATATTCTGCATAGCAGTTTATGACATCTAGAAAACCTGTAATGATAGTATAGTTAAGACAGTAAGTGAAAACAATGACTAAATGTTTAGCTTTAAGCTGAACTTCTAAATCTATTTAGAGCTCTTGCTGATATCATGAGGATTACTAAGATAATGACAATCACTAACATCTATTTAGTTCTCTTGTTCCCACAGAATCATATCCTGCTCTCACTGAAGTAAACAGTAATCTTCCAGTCCACATCGAGTGGATTGAGCCCAGAGGCTCTTTCTCGCAGCTGCGCCACATATCGTGAGAGGTGGCAGGCGTTGCCAACTTCTGCTGACTTCAGTACCACTTAAGATTTTGCTCTATCTAAACAGAGATTTCTTCGCTACTGAAAAGCAGCCACATCTTTGTTGAAACACCAGCAACTTGAAAGTGCTGTTGTGGTAGGAGATAATAATTTGCTGGATGAGACTTTAAAGAGCGTCCATGGAAGAATCCATATCTAAAAAGAACATTTTATGACCTGAACCAACAGACCATTTACAGAACTCCATGTGGAACTTATGTAGCATGAGATTTTTTTTTTTTTTTTTTAATCACAACACAATAGTTAGCTTGAGAGAGCTTGGGTTTTCAGACTTGTTTCTTAGGTCGCTATGTTGTTCTTTCAGACAGAAATACTTGCTTGCTGAGATTGCTTATTGAGTTATTATTAATTATCTTGGGTTTCTTCATGTTGATGTGGCATGAGGTAGACAGCAGTTTGCAGCAAAAATTTACTGTGAAGAGTGACAATTTTCCAGTTTCAAACTCTGAGCAATTACCATTGACTACATTTTCCTATTGATTGACTAAATCTGTTATCCAAAATGTCATCTATTCTTTTAGAGTTATTTGTATTAATCTAAGAATCCAAATGGAATAGCAATTGTGAGAGAAATGTCTGTATTATACTGGTTATTCATCGGCAAATAGGCAGCAATTTCTAAGCAATTAATATTTTAAATATGTAGTTGTGTTTAAAGCAAATGATTGGATAGGTCTTGATACAGCTTCTCTCACGTTTCCATGGGTATTTCTATTGATTTACAAAAAGTTTAATCAAGCCCTTAACATATGAGGTTCAAACAGCAACTGGTTCTCATGGAAATCCTGATTTGTTTGTGGAGGCAGAATTCTCTTTTTTGTTAAAGGTACAAAATCAGGCCCTGACACTCCAAGTTTAAAACTCCACTCTTTACAGGAAGCTACTAGCTGATTTCTAGCTGATATCATTATACCTGTTAGCTCTCTGATCTGCAGCCTTTAATTGAATATGTGCTTCAATGAGACAGTTCGCCCAGTAAGAGATTGTAAACCAAGGCCCCAGAAAAGCAGATAAGGCATACCACACTCATAAAGGTGATGTCTTGTGTTTGAGTATTACAATTGTTATCTTTTTTTTTTTTTTTTTAAAGTAATAGCTGTAAATATGTGGGAACTTAATCTCCATTACCAAAATATTTTGGAAGATAACCAAATTGCCATATAATAATGACTTTTTCTTATAAATTTGGAGAGAAAGGAACAGGCAACTATACAGATGTGTATTTACTGAATCTATCCATAACAGAATTGAAATTCTTTCATTGAAAGAAATTCACTCAAAAGCCTGATGAACAGTTAGAATAGTTCAGTGCTGTTTCTGTTTTAGTACAAATTGCAAATACTTCTTGAAATGTTATTTTATTCATTAAAAAGTTACCTGAAATTGGATTTATGGATTTATAAACATGAATGCATTTCAGACTAGTTAAAATCTATCAGAGCCAATTGCTTCTTTTCCTTCTTCCCACGATTAAATTGATATTTAACTCTGTAATGGAATATTACTAACTCACAGGAAATAGTTATGTTATAGAATAATTCTAATCTAGCAGAGCATTAGTGTTATTAAGAAGGGTATATTTTCTTTTTTTTTCCTTCAGGCTTGGAAATGTGACAAACTTAAATAAGAAAGCCCTTTCAAAATACACCTGTCTTCTCAAGGTACTGTAGTATTTGTAGCCTTTTTCATTTATGAAAACATTATAATTGTAAAGTGGTTAAATGATCTGCAACTTTTGCCTCTAGATTTCACTTTCTACCCTGAATGCTTTGATCTTTATGCTTACAGAATGGCTCTATTTACAAGAAGAAGGGTATTTTAAGCTCTTTTTGAGAATAAACAACAGACACAACGAGTATCAAGTAACAGAATATCACAGGCACGAAGTTTACTTTGTAATTTAATCCTAACTGATATGACTAGAAAAAACCAAGGAAAATCAATACCTTTTTGTCTTTACTGCTGGTTGTTCTGGCATTTCCTCACTAAGTCCTGAGAGTGTATTCCGTGACATTACTGGCAACATCCATCCTTGTCTCTTGGAAGTACCATCAGATAGATCATCAGCCACAGATAGTAATCTTTAAACAAGAAAATACCCTGTGAAATTGAATAGCTCTATTTTTGCTCATATTATTTGAGTCATGAAAGCAAAAGCAATTCATGCAATAATCTGAACACTTTTTCCCCTAAAAAGAAATAAATACAATTATTTATTACTCACTTCTCAATAGGTGTAGCTTCCAAACAGCTCAGAGTGACAGAAAGTGCAATGAAGAAAACTGACAGCTTTAGGTTGCACATCTTTGCTTCCAAACTTTCTGAAAAGAATAATGATTCAAACCTGAAGGCAAACCCAAATACTCTTCAGCATATCCTATGACTGATGCCTATTCTCTCCTAAATCAACAGCAGCTGGTCTTTTTCACAGGCTAGAGTAAAAAAATGATCCTCCTAAGTTTAGTGACACAATGCAGTTTCAGACAGATAGCTCTCAACAGTAAATGTTCATTTTCCATCTAGTAGTTTCAATCCTTTCCCTATCTCTGGTTTGCATTTCCTGACATGTCCCAGTCTCAAATTCTGGTCCCAGGTGCAATTTACCTTGAAGTTATCTTAGCCTATTCCTGAAAAATGCTGTTGATTAATAATGAGAAACATTGTGCTTTCCTGAAAGCACATCTGTTGTACTGCATCTTAAGTAAAAAAACAAAAGGGAAATTGTTTACCTTTTAGTGGTCAGGGAGCTAGAGGAAGAAGCACGCCTGTGTTAGCAAGAAGGGTGCATCCAACAATTCCACGCTTGCATCTAGCTCTGGAGTATCCCTTTTCCCCCTTCCTTGCTGACAAGTAATACAGCTCTTATATACCCTTCACACCTTTCTCAGCTCTGACATCAGGCAGCGCAGAGAGACTGTCATTAATTCCCATCCCTATAGATAGAAAGTACCCCAGAGAGGAGCAGAGGCAGAAAGGTCATTATTACATTAGCACATCAGTAAATATTAACCTGGTATATGCAGGATGCCCTGGTAAAGATACTGTAATAGCATATTGCACATCAGAACTGTAGCCTCAATTTTACAGTTCTGATAAGATGCTGAGGCACTATTCCCTGTGGGTGTTTTCAAGGGCTAAATAAGGTAACAAAAGTTATAAAGAAAGCCAGAGTAAATGAAACACCAGATCACCAGTAATTGAAATATAAGAAAACAGATATCCCAGAAAAGATAGAATAGTTAAAGTTGTGGAGGGTTGTTACAGAATATATATATAATCATATATAATGGTCAAAACAGAAAAAATGTTTGAAGGGATAAAAACTGTATAAGGAATAAGAAAAGAGTGAAAATTATTTAAATTGACAGTTAGGGTGATCATTCAGGGTAACAAGGTCGAAATCAGGTACATTTTTCAGTAAAGTATAAATATGAATGAAAATTCTGTCATTATTAGTGTAAAATCTTACGTTTTACTAACACTGGTAGATTCTTTATGTCATGCATGAAAATTGTGTCAATTAATATTCTTAAGAAGGCAAAGACTAGGATTAAAAAGCTAGGAAATGCCAGAATAAAGGCTGCCTGTGCAAATTTATTTCTCTAGTGTGCACAGAGTATGGTTCAGGGAAAAATATACAGCTTTTAATAGACTAAATCCAATGTTAATAAATTACCTGATTGCAGATTTCCAAGGATACAGATTAGAACCACTTTTTCCCGATTTCAGTGGGAATTAAGCAAATTACTTTTTTTTTTTTTTTTCTGTCTCATTAGTTGCCTTTAGGTGCCCAAATGCCTTTGGAAAACAGGTCTTTCAATTATTTATGGAGCTTAAGATGCTGACACAAAAGCTCAGGCAAAGTTTTCTGTCATAAGAATTTCCAAAGTTTCTGTGATAAGCATCTTCCATATCCCCACAGAACATGCATTAATTCATAACTTTTCAGTGCCAAGTACATTGCCTTAACTGGAAACCTCCTCCTTTGCCGGTTTAGTCTGTAACACCAGACTTTCACTAAAATGGCTAAAGCTCCAGTGCTGGCTCTCTTCAGGCATCTGTGATACTTGAGTTGAATACAGAAGGAATGTTTAGCTGGGATAGTAGCCTCTTAACCTGATACTACAGCTAGTCTGCCAGTAAGATTCTAGCAAGTGACAAAATGCTGGTTTGTTGGTTTGTTTGTTGTTTTTTTTTTTTTTTAATGGGATGCTGCTTCTGGATATTTTGCTCTTTGTTTTTAATGATACGATCGTATACTTTTTTTCCCCAGGTTCCTGTCATCCTCCCCTGGATTGACAGTCCCAGTGTGAGAGAAGTAAGTATAGTGTCGTTTTATCTTCACCATGACAATATGTTTTGTGCAACATCTGAAACAAGTTTATCTCTCTAAAGAGTCTTCTGATGTTACTTTCACTGTAGCATTTGACTACAATGAAATAACATTCACTGTAGCGATTTCATTCCCCTGAAATGAAGGCATGATTAGATCCATTTTACAGAGAGAGAATTGTGCTAAAAAAATAATTATGCAAATAATCTCGCTAGTGATTGACACCAGCCAATATTCACAGCTTGAATACTGAATTCAAATGCCTTGGTGCCCTTCTTCTGGGGTGGGAAGAGATCCGGGTCACGCTGACACTCAGTAGTGGTGTGTGTGCTCAGCTCTTGTGAAAAGGCAAGCTTGTGTTGTTTCAACTCCTGAAAAGCAGTGGATAGATCAGATGCAGTTTGCATCTGAGATGTTAGAAGATTGGACTGGATATTCAGAATCAGTTAAATTTTAAGGCATCTAAGTGAATGGTTGTTATGTCAAGCTTGAATCAAGCCATAGGTTGACATAAGAAAAGTGAAACAGGCTTTTCAAAGAAATATTGGTCCAAAATCCTAACTCCAGCTGTCCTGCAAGTGGCCTTGGGGAACCTCTAATGCTTTGAGGGAAGAAGAGAAAGGCTGGTTCTTGAGTGCATTGTAGAAATGAAATGGGGCTCATGATGTCCCAGGACCATTGTCTGCCTTCCGAGCCAAATAGCATTTTGGCAGAGTCAGCAAGGAGTCTATCCAGCTGTTATTCAGATGTAATGTTAACAAAAGTAAGGTGTTGTGTCTTCTGTTACAACTTCTCTTAAGCAGAAGAAGTAGTGCTTTCCCACACAAATAAAAGTGGAATATGAAATTATGGAATGTCTCTGACAGTAGAACTATTCGTAACTCAAATTTCAAGAACCTGGCACTAAGTACTGTGCAGTTAGTACCATTCAATAAAGCAGTTAGAAAGCTATTTTTATCACTGGCAAAGATCCTTAACCTTGATCTTAGGAAAAAACCCCTTAATTATTGTGCATAACAAATGTTATCAGCCCAAGGAAGAAATAAAGTATTCTCAGTAAAGAAACCCATGACCAATTCTATCCTGAGTAGTTGCATGGTAATTTTACGTATTTATACTGGAGTTTAAGTCCGTATGAAAAGATTTGTCTGAAGTATGGTGCCTATATGAGGGTTAGAAGACACCAGAGCTGAGGTTTTGTCCTGGTTTCGGCTGGGATAGAGTTAATTTTCTTCCTAGTAGCTGGTATAGTGCTGTGTTTTGGATTTGTTGTGTTTTGTATGAGAATAATGTTGATAACACACTGATGTTTTAGTTGTTGCTAAGTAGCGCTTATGCTAGTCAAGGACTTTTCGGCTTCTCATGCTCTGCCAGGTGCACAAGAAGCTGGGAGGAAGCATAGCCAGGGCAGCTAACCCAACTGGCCAGTGGGGTATTCCATACCATATGACGTCATATAAACCAGGGGCAGTTGGCCAGGGAGCAGCGATCACTGCTCGGGGACTGGCCGGGCATCAGTTGGCGGGTGATGAGCAATTGCATTGTGCATCATTCATTTTGTATAGACTATCATCATTATTATTATTTTACCTTCCTTTTCTGTTCTATTAAACTGTCTTCATCTCAATCCATGAGTTAAACACAACAGGTTCACAAAGAATCCAGAAGATATGGTATGCCAATGCCCGTGGAAACTACCTACATAAATGTCTTGAGTTGCAAGATGATGAACATGTGCTGCACTATAATGCACTGACGGCAGAGGAACAGGGAACCAGTCTCGTCTCAAGTGTCTGCTGCTCTTACGTGCTGGGGAGTGGGATTTATCTGACTAAATGTGAGATGAATAGAGAGAGTGCCTGTTTCTAATGTAGAAGTCTAAAATAGCTCAGATGATTTGTGCCTGTTCCTCCTTTTTGACTATAAAACCAGCCTTGGGTGACTCGCTCAGATATAGACGTTTACACTGCAAGTGTCTAAATATATGTGAAATGAATTCCATCAGGAGTGCTTTAATTCTCTTATGTGCTCAGTTCCTAACATTTAAGGTTGCCTCCCTCTCTTTCTCATATTTACCTTTTTCTTAGGCTATTCTTGACACCTACTGGACAGCTGTTTCCCGCTTTTAATGGCTGCTTTTCAATTTCTGAGTTCCATATTTGCTTAATAACATTAATAACACACATTAAGACTTTTGGTAATGGATGTCTCTTTCCCATTTGTGAGAGTGACAACAAGCCATATTACCTGTTGCATGCACTTTACCAGATGCTGTTCTGCTGTGTAAGGTAAATGTCTCCAGTAAATTACATTGTTGCTCAGTTACCAGGAATATAAGTGTGTGAATAACTCATGGTTTACTTTTCCTGTTGTATCAAAACAGAAAAGGAAAAGCTTTAACCATTAACCTGAAATAAGCATATTTCATTTTTTTGAATAAACCGGAAATCATAACAGCAGCAGCATTAATATGCACCAGTGTAAATATTACCAGTAATGAAACAGGATGGTGCATGTGTTATGTGTCACTGCTTGTAGCTGTTATAGGAGTTGAGCAGAATAATTCTATGTGATCTGACAAAATTGTTTCATTTTTATAACAATTTTATTAGCCTTTGATTCCTGTTAAATAAGTCTGAATCAGCTTTGAAACAAAAATAAAGCATAAAAAGGTTTCATTTGATAGTGTCAGCACCTCTGAAAAAGTCTAAGTGCCTTGTGTTCAAATGGCCAAATTTGAAATTAGAGGAGTAAATTGGGTGCGTAAACATAGTTTTATGCCATCATTTTAGATGTCCTAGGATATCCAGGACTGACATGCATGAACCTGGCTAGTAGGACACTGTCATAGCAACTGCAGACTCGGTGGAACATCAGAGGGAGTCTAAAATTATGCTAGACGCCTATGATTAGGAACCTGGATTGTTCCCTAAATTTTTACATTTGGATTCCAAAGTCTGAAAATTTTGGCTATAATACCCTCTTCCCAGTATTTCTTGCTTGGTACTATGTTGATGAATACTACAATGTTTATATTTTCTGGTGTGTAGAGTTGTAATTTGCTAATGTTAGCACTTAAGCTATGTGTATCTGCTTTGTTCAAATACTGTTTTATCAAATATGCTTTTGCTAGCACAACTTTCTTTGTTACTCCTATGTGGTGTGGGCCATTTCAGCACTGATAAAAACTCAGAGATCCCAAAAGTGATGTTAAACCTGGGGAAGAAATACGGAAGAAGCAGCAGAAGAGATAGTAGGAGCAAAGTTAATAATTTCTCCCCCAGTGGAAAAAAAAAAAAAATTTCTTCCATTCAGAAATGAAGGGTGGCCATCCATGGAATTCACTAGCACATGGGAGGAAGTCATTTGGATAGTTAACAATATCTTAAATATAACTTTTATGATGTGTTATGCTACTCAGGTCACACTATTGACAGAACAATGATGTAGCCTCAAAGGGCTAATGATTGCTCTGAGAATGAGCTCAGCAGAGAGAGGAACTGCTGAATCAGTTCCTATAGCTGGGAGTCTCCCAAACAAGAGGAATAAACCCCATGTTTAGATCAGAAAAGTCAGAGCTGACAGCACAGTGATTGATGAGTTATAGTTCCTAATGCCATTCCTACTTACAGTTTATAGAGTGTTAATTGCATGGCTTCTACTGGCTTGCATCCAACAATTTACCTTTGAATACAACAGAAGGTTTA